ACTGCTAATCCACCTCCCCCCCAAACACTTACCGGCTCCTTGATTACATTTCTTCCCCGTGTGCGTTATGATCGTCCACCACACCAGAGCCAAGACCCAACTCCAGTTGGATCTGTTCATGTCTCTTCCTTCCCTTGCCCTCCCGCCCTTGGCAGTCTCCCAAGTCTGTTTCTTTTGGCGCCAACATCTTTCTCCTGGATACATGACAGATCACTTCTCAATAGTGGTCTCCTATCATATGTGTCCTTTTGCGATTGAGTGATTTCATGCCCTCTTTTTTGGATGTACTTTTTGTAACCAACTTCATCCTGCAAAGATTCATCCATGCGGTTGACCAAAATGGCAGCGCGCGCGTTTTCCCCACTCTATGGTCTTCCATGGTAGAAATCACACTCGGGTGGGTTGCTCTAAGCTTCTATCCATGGGCATTTCAGTGGTGGCCAGACCGTGTGATTCGTGTCTTGAGCACGTCATGACAGTTCCAGAGACAGAGGTGAGGAATCAGTCGGCTGATGGCACCAAAGCAGCGACCTTTCAGTCTCTAAGCTCCACACAGGTTCTTTCAAGAGCATAACACACTCCGTGAGCCAGACAGTCTTTTAACCAATTTATCCAAACCTTCGTTCACACATCTCAATAGCAAGTCAAGAAAAACAGGCAAGACTTACCAGCAAGCACAAGGGAGGGAGAGTTTTTTTCTATGGCAGTAGTCAAGAGGCTCTGCCCTTCTGGGCTCTTAGCTGGATTCTTAGACAATGTTTGTGGCTGTAGCCATTCCTGTGGTCGTTCGTGGGTGCTCAATCGCCAAGGGGTCCAATCTCAAGTGTTTAGTCCGATAGCCTTGGGTTCTGGCCAGTTTGAGCAGCCACTTTGTTGTTGACTTCTGTCTTCTTGGTGGCCTATGGGTCAGCCTTTTTATTGTTCATGGTGACTCCATGGTGTGTGCTCTCTTCAATCAGGGACTTTCTTATTCAAGCGTCGTTGAGTCTGTGGCTGTGAGTTGCTGTGGAGACCAATTCTGATTCCTGGTGACTCCCACAGTGTAGAACAGAGCTGCCCCATGGGATCTTTAGTGAGCACGTGACCTTGCAGGGGATCACCAGGCCTGTCTTCCCAGGTGCTCAGGGTGGGCTTAATGACCAACCTCTTGACTCCTTTTTACTATTGTAAATGCTTTATTTTCTAAAGTGCATGTTCTGGTTGTTTGTGGATGAAGTATTTTTACAGCTATTTTCCAATGGGGGGAGGGTCACCAATTGGTCTTGGGTGTCATCAGAATCTCCTTGTTACAGTGGCTGGACAGTTGCTGGGTCTTCCTCATAAACCCAGAGAGCCCTGAGGGTCCGTGGTTAAGTGTCCGGGGAACCAGGCTCCAACAACCGAAGGACCAGAAGGCACAAATGTACAGCAATGATACACGTAGATGATAGTAAAGTCATAGAGGATAAGGAAGACAGGAGAGAGAGTACAATAAAGGAGTCAGACACATTTTATGGTAGCACGCTCACTTCAGCTTCTCTTGATGGACTACGAGAAACTGAGCAAGTTGGAGAACTGGGAGAAGTGAGAGCGAGCCTTTATTATCTTGGGATATTTATAGGTAGCCATAAGACATGCATATTCAGTAGTTACATACATCACCAGGTGGGTGGTATCTACATTAAAGGTCCCTGAGCTCACAGGTGAGGAAACCTAATACCTGCATTGGGGGGAGGTACAGGGGGCTTGGGTGTCATGGAGGGAAGAGAGAACAAAGGATCCTGTCTACTTCTACAGGGAGATAGAATCAACCATGTGCTCATTTTAAGGTAGCATAGCTGTTCAGGGGAGAATCTGTGGAAATGATGTTTAAAGCAAGATAATATACCTAGACTTTACCTCTAAGTTATCCAAATGGAGGCTTTCCTACCCCGGACTACCAGCTTTCCAGAATCCCTCAGTAATAAGTTAAGGAATTAAGCACTTGTCTGTTAGCTGATAGATGAGCGGGTTTAACCCCACCCTACCCCAGAGGAGCAAGATCTTGGCAGTCTGCTTCAGTAAACATTACAATCTTGAAAACCCTCTGGGGTGATTCTACCCTGTCCTGTGGAGTTGTTATGAAACAGGATTGACTTTTTGGGAGTTTTTATTCATAAACCAGCTGAGCCATTCTTTCTTTGTGATTCCACCCCCACCCCAACAGCCCAACACCCAAGAATTAGCTCATTCTTGTAGGCTTTGGGTACTGAACAAGAAATGAGGATCTTCCAAAAGCTTGTGGAAAACACCAGTGATCTTTTAGTTCCGTTTTCCCACGTGCTTCCTGAAGCCCCATTATATCTGCTCTCATGCAAACCCTGAAGAGCTATGTTCCCCTTGTCACCCTCAGAAGGTTTCAGATCTCCACAAATGCCCTAATAGTCTGCATAATCCCATTAATGGAGAAGTATGCACACAGAGACCTCATCTTATAACGGAAGTCTGTGTAACACCTCAGTGTGTGCAATACGCAATTACAGATAGAGTTTTAACCGGTTCTTTTCTATTGCCCCACTTTGAGCCAACCCAGAGCTTCTCCTTACCACTCCACCCGCCCCATGCCGCCGGCATTGATGCTTTTGAATCTGCTTCTGGGTTTGAGCCTTCACAAGAGTG